AACCAATGTTACTGCAATAAAAAAAAAAATTAAAAAAAAAAAAAAAGGATAAAAATACATAAAACAAATGTTACCTTTACCATTCCCCGGATCATTGTGCAGTAGGAATGTGCATTTTTCTCGGGCATTAGAGCAAAGACTCTCTCAGCATTGTTTTTTGCTCTGCACAAAAAGAGTAAATGTGAACCAGGGGAAACAGAAAAAAAACAGTAATAGCTACCAGAATTTACTGAGGGTTTACAATGTTCTAGGCACTATGCTAAACACTTTATGCACATAATTTCAAATAATTCTTGCCACCCAGAGAGAGATATGGTTATCACCACTTTGAAAATGGGAAAAACGGAGGCTCGAAGACCTTAAGTTGTCCAAGGCTTTGCAGCTAAGTGGCAGAACCAGGACTGAAAAGGAAAGTTTCATGAAAAAGTAATATATACTCAAGGCATTAAACAAAAAGCAAACGGTACAACAGGGTGAAATTTCCCCATCCTCCTTCAATCAGATACTATTCCCCAGAGGGAACTACAGACAAGTGGCGTCTCCTGAATCCCTTCTGTCATATTCTAACGTATCTATTTTCCCTCTTTCTTAAAAACAAAAACAACAAAGGTACCATGTTACATAAACTATGCTGCACACCTTGATTCTCTCTCTTACCAATAGGTCTCAAAAATCAGACAAAACCAGGATTTGAACCAGGATGATACCCCAAAGTCCACGCTCTTAACTACTTCGTGAAATTATTAAATCTATTGAAGAAATTTAATTTTTGATTCTATTCATTTTATCACTGTGAAAAAGACTTTAGATATCAGTGGTAGTTTCCTTCTCCAGACATCCATGTTAAATACCTTTCTTTTATTTAGACGCTTCTACTCAGTTAATTTAAATTCTCAAATGTTAGTTAAATATTATTCACCTTTTGTTCAGAAATGCTGACTACTTCTGCTCGCTGGCCAGCAGTCATAATTTAGAGCTACATTCTAGTATATGTGTATTCTTATGTAATTTAGAATATCGAATCTTTCAGAATTAAGAGATATACACTCCAAGGACTACCTGATGAAACTACCAAAGGAACCACAGCATGTGAAGGTTACACGGAGTTAAATGGAAAAAAAATCAAGAGTCAACCTTGTGCTGCTGGTTGGAGGCAAAGATCTTATGAAAAAAGGTCCAAACACATATGAATACCAACTGTGACATTTATATGGCATAATGAAAACAAACTGTATTTTAGAAAATTACAGGATCATATCTTTAGGGGGTTACGGGGAACATTACATGTACTGTAAGAAACCATAATACAAGGTTCTAATTACATATAACATACCTCCAAGTAACACCAAACTGAGGACCAGCCTTCTTCTTAGATTTCTCATTGTTTTCCTCTGTGGCCTCTTCCTGAAATGAACCATCAACAGAAATAAAGTAAAATATGACAAAGGAATGCATTCTCCTACTTAGATCCCTCAAAATCAGAATATCAAAGGAAACAGAATCCAGAAGAAGGTAAAGAGGAAACCCAGTAAATATTTATTAAGAAATGCTAATTTCTTAAGCATAAATCAGTTCATTTACTGATGAAAAGTAAAGTTGGCCCTTAAAGCAACAACTGACAGCCTGGAGACAGACAAAGCCAGGGCTCTCTATGGCCCGGCCCAGAGAAACTGGAAATCCAACCCATACAGCCTGTTTCCTCAGAGGCTATGTCTGCCTTGATCCATACAGAGATACCGTTTATTATCAGGGTGAAAGCAAGAGAAAACAAAATATCTGGGTACAGAATACACAGTTAATGTCTAACACTGACCCAACACAAGCTAAGATTTTGTTTTAAAGACTACATCTTGTCCTTTATTTATAAAGCAAGCTCTGGGGTGACGGTGATGTAGAGTGAGATTGGCTTGGGTGGCATCCCACAGGACAGTGCTGGCTCTATAGCTGGGGCTGCAGGGGCAGACAGCCAGCCAGGCCAGGGAATCTAGGAGAGGATAATCTGGAAGACAGGTGTGACCGCCACCCAGTGCCTTTGCACTATAAAAGACTTAGTTACTCTGTGTATAAATAATCCATGTTTAACGGAAAAAAATTAGAAAAGACATAAACTGGAAGAAAAACACCCACAATTTCATCACTCAGAGAGAAACACTTAATTTTTAATATAGCTTTTTCCTTATGCATATGAAAATTTTTTTTTACAAAAATGGAAGATGTATTGTCTAGCCTATTTTCCCACTTATCAAGAATGAGAATCTTTCCACACCCAAACAGAGCTACACTAGTACTCCTAGCCACCACACAACACTATCACCATAATCTAATCACCCCACTATTAGACATCTAATTTGTTTTCAACATTTTGCAATTGTAGGTATGAATATCATTTTACGAAAAACGTCATACATACATCTTTGTTCACTTGATCCAAAAGTTTCCTTGGGATCTATTTCTAGAAATAAAACTCTTGGGTTGAGAGATAGGCTACAACTCAGTATCAACAGGCCAGCCCTTGGCACAATACTGTTCTACAGCTCCAGTAGCGTGTGCTCACTCCTCTCTGCCTACCTATGTATGAAGTTTTGAGGGAGCTGGGGGCAGAAGGTCTTTCCGTGTCTATTACACATCATACTGTGACTGTAAGTAACAACAACAGAGGAGCCTGCCCAAACATTTCTGGTCAAAGCTTTGCCTGTATGTGGCAGGCAAGGCCAAAATATTTTTAAGAAGGGAACTAATGTTAAAATAATTGTTTAAATTCTTCTCTTGCTCTGCACCACTTTTTATCAAAGCTACTGTACGACATCACATCTCAGAACAAATCTCTACTATCCTTACTTTGTAAGTAAGGATAAGTAACTATCCTTACTTATCCTCTACTATCCTTACAAGTTCAATCCTGAACTTGCCTTACTTTGAGAAGGTATTACTATCAAAAGAAACTTTAAAAATCACTGCCAAAAGCCATTACCAACTCTTCTGATCGTTCACGTTGTTGAAAATGATAATCAGCTGAGGGCTCTTGGTCACCATAGTAACACAATAAATCTAAGAGACTATTAGTTGTTTCCAGAGATACAGTGGTTCCTGTGGGCAGGAGGGGAAAAAAGGGAAAGCAACCTTGAAACATCAAAGAATAAAACCCCATTAGATTAAACATTAGATTAAAATTTTTCACCTTTTCTATGAGCTGTGGCTTTCTTGGTTACATATTTATTGTCACCCATCACTTTAGCAATGGATGAGTATGCACGCCACCAACTTAAACACCTGCAGTTATGCAGACATGGACACAATCCCTACCAACTATATTGTCTGACATAAAAGATTAAACTACAAGACAAAGTTTGACCTTGTGCTCGCAATAATATTTTATGTACTCGTATCCCCAGAGAAAACTATCTCATGGTGTTAACTAACATCTCCAAACTGAACATTCCGCAAATTATTGCCACTTAGTTCCCCTGGCCCAGTTCCATTTTTAAAAATGCAAGCAAAACCATTCCACTTGGATCCAGGCCCTCACTGAAATACTTGCCTAGAAACACCAGCATAACATCTAATTATAGTAGCCTTTTAAAAACTGTTGCTTAAAACATTATGCTCCCATCTTGACACTTATTTAGAGGGAGAAACGGGAACAGGAAGAAGTATGAGACACAATTCAGTGTTCTAAGGTAACTGCATTTTTCTAAAGAAAATATACTGATAATAAAAATGCCCAGCAGGAAATTTAAAAGCCCATTAAAGAAGGTATGGCAGAGAGGAGAGGACACAGGCGATGGAGTGTAATCTGATTGGGTCCCAGAGCTGTGTGACCCCTGAAAAATTACTTAATAGTTTTCCTTTATAAAATGACTAAAATACACCAACTCAAAAAGTGTTGTGGAATTAAATGTCTAGCAAAGTGTTTGGCACTTATTAGGGGCTTGATAATAAAATTTGCTATGATCCCTCCCCTGGAGTGTTGGCTCATTTGTTACTCTGAGCTATGGGTCTGACACACTGTCTTTAGAAATGTTTACTCAATGTCTGCATGCGCCTACACCACACAGTGTGTAAAACAGAGGCAGACAAGTCTTAGCACCAAGAACTTTAATGAAAACTTATACAAGACATTTATCATATTGAAACAGCAGAGGGAAAAGCCTCCCTAAATTACAATCTGTGCTAGCAATTCATTTGTACATCCAATGCTGTAGTAGGCTACGTACCAAAATTCTCTCATCAAAACCAGCTTTCTGCAAATGTTTCTGGTGTTTAAGACTGTACTGAGTGATTCAGTTCAGTTTTGATCTCTTGTATGTTTGGTTGATTTTTATCCTAAATCACTGAACAGCACTCCAGATTCCATAAACTTAAATAATGCCACTGTCTTCCATGTTACTATAGGTACATTCTCATGGTAGCTTAAAGGCCATGCAATCTAGAGCTATACCCTGGAGGTTCACCCAGGGCAAACCCAGAGAGCCACAGGATTCTAGAGACAGAAGCTCTGAGGAATTAAGTGCCTTTTTCAAGGCCATAGAGCTAATTAGTGCCAGAACTAGAACCAGTATCCAAGCCTCTGATCCCACAGTTTAGTGCTCTTTCCATTTTAAATATTTCTTCTTGTCTGTTTTATGCCTTCCAAACATACTTCAGAGTATAGGAAATCTGAATACAGTATGTACACACCTAACGTTAAAAATGGAAGCTAAGGAAGAATGGTATAGTTCTCTACCTGTGACAGCACAAGAAGACAATACACTAACAAAGTTGCAACTCTATCACACCTATAATTTTAAAATGAAGCTAAAGTAGAACTTGAAATATTATTTATTAAGCTCTTAAAAATATAAACACGGCCATCAAGCAGAGTAAGTGCAGTAATGCCTGTAACTTTTACTCACAACTGTCGGGATCATCTAACTGGGGCCCACTTGCAAGTCCCCGTTCCTAAGGGTGCTTTAAATGATGATCTTAGTCACCTGCTTGCAAGAGTTGATCAAACATGTCCACCGAAGCTTTGACTTTTCTGAGCTTAATTCGTTCCTTCAGGGCGGCTTCGCTTATATCTTCAATCTGAGCTTCAAAGTACTCAGGCATTAAACACTAGGGAAATCAAGATGGCTCAAGTTACCACAAACAGGTAAAGGCGAAATGATAACCGAGCAGGACAAAACTTTTATCACCAACAAACCAAAAAAAACCTGCACTGTTCCAACTCACGTTTCATGCACCAGATACTTTTTACCATTTTAACAAGAATGTTTTTGTAGGGAATGTAACTTAAAAAATATATATCAAAAAACCTCTCAAGTCTCCAAAACAAGATTATTTAGCTAGCTCCTAGCTTGGAGAGAATTTAAAAGCACCCAAACACAGAATCCTATTTCCAACTAACTTTCCCAACTTCTAGTTGAAGTTACTATATTTTCCCCTGATAAGACCATCCTTTCTCCTTTCCTCCCAATCTTGGTTATAAGTGTCCGAGTACACTGGTTTCCAAAGGCAGAAACCTTTCATCTTTGATGCTTCTTTCTCTAAACATTTAGTATCACCAAGGTGTGCTGATTTTACCTCACTCACTCCTTAATTCATATACTTATTGAACACCTACTACTTGACACCAGGCACGAAGCTAGGCACTGGGGATGTAGAGATGAAAGTCATTCTCTACCTTCAAGGTGCTCAAAATCTAATAAGGAAAATAAGGAGATAATAATTACGATACAGTGTGAACGGTAAATGACAAGAGATCTCAGGGATGTGAGAGTGCTGCTGCCATGGAGGCAGGGGACTCACGGAAGGCTTCAAGCAAAAGTGAGCTAAGCACAGAAGAGTCATTGTTAGTCAAAGATATAAAGGGGAAAGGGTGGGCCAACAAATGATCATTCCATTGCTGCCACTGGTTTAGTTCAGGATATCAATATTTTCACCTAAACAACTGCACTGGCTTCCTAATTTGTCACTAGAAGTTGCTGCTTGAGAAGCAGGAGGGTGGGGTTTGGGTGTGTATGTTTTGGGAAGGAGGGTGATGTGAGAGGAAGTAATTTTGGACATGGCAAGTCTGAGGTTACCATTTCAATTAATGAACTCAGGAGGGCAGAGGCACATCTATTTTGTTCACCACAGTATTGACAGCACTAAGCACAATGCCCCACCATACAGCAGGCACTGCACAAACCCTCCTCATGACTATGAAACAGAGAGGCAGTTGGAAATACAACTTGGAGTTCAAAGGAAAAGGTGAAAGATTTATACAATCCGAAGAGAACCAGAGCACGAGAGTTCAAAGTAGAGGGATCTAGGCCAGATATACAAGAATGCCAAACGGAGTGTAACGGTTGTTGAAGCAGGAGTGTAGACAGGAAAAAAGAGAAAACAACTGAGCATGGAAACCCAAGAAAGACATCAACACTCGAGGAATTGAGAGAAAAGCTACTGAAAAGCAACAGTCTGAGGTAAAGATCTAAGAGTTTGCTTTCACAGAAGCCAAATGGGGGGGAAATAAGATGAGGAGCAAATACATTTAGGGGTTAAAAAAAAAAAACAGAAGGTTAGTATTGTGAGCAAAGATAACTATGTACATTAAACGACTTTTCACCCAAATACTGAGGGCATTCAAATGACTACTCAAATATTAGCCATGAAAGCTTGGTATAGTTTGTATTTATACATAGTACTATCTAAAAATCACAATTACCTCTCCTTACCGGTATATGTGGTTCAGCTATGTCCTTCTGAAAATATTTGGGATGTGAATTAATAATAAACTTTGCTGCATTCTCCCCAGACTTCTTTGCCAATAAAAATGAACGCTATATAAAGAAGATTTATACATAAATTAGTATTTACATGTAATTTAGACTCCAGAGATAAGTTATACCCTCAGCAAGAATTATCATTCTCCCTAAAAGAAAAAAAAAGAATGCAACAACACGTAGAAATCCAATTAGAAGTTAAATTCATAGTATTATACATCCACCTCTGCTACTAAGTGTGACATAACTTCAGGTCACATCTTATATACAGCTTGAGGTACATAAAAGCGATGCATTTAAACTGAGTGGACTGCTCCAGTGTGCAAGTGCCCTAAGTATTAAAAACCAAAACCTTTTCATAGCCTATCTCTAAAACGTTTTAATAAAAGTAATAAAGGATTCACAAAGTCTACCAATGTATCTATCAGCATCTGTAAACTTTTCAAAGGTTTTTACAACTAAGCTAAATTATATATGCATTCTTGTACCCAAACCAGCCAGAAAAAACACAATACTAGTATTGTTACATGAAAATACTCACTGATTCCACAGAAGATGTTGGTATGAGGTAAGGATCATCTTGAAATGCATACGGAGCAGCTGTGGTATCCTGTAAATACACAGAAGTCTCTTCAGCTAGATTCTTATTAAGAGGACCTTGTGAGTTTTGGTGATGACCAAAAACTCTGTAAAATAAGTTTTAATTATCTATGTAACACATATGCAGAAATATGTACGTATGTTTGTGTGTATGTGTGTGCATATGTGTGTGTGCCGAGACAGACAGACACTAATACCTACACTGTACTCTCGGCTCTATAAGACTTGGTTTTAATGATAGTGCTGATCTTCTGCACCACCCTTACTACATACCTGTTTAGGGCTCTAGCTTGGTGACATGCTGGACTTCTTTTAACTTAATAGACTTATTCTTCCTCTGTCTCCCGATTTTCCTCCCTCAATGACTTCCAAGTCCTTTATGGTCTCTGAGAAACAACTCTACTCTGGTCCTGTAGCTCAGATGCCTCAAACCAAATTTATCCCCAAACCGAAGTTCCCTGATAGCTACCCTGTCTCCTATCTTCCCTATCACAGTGAATGGTACTGACCACTCTGCAGTCCAACCCAAAGATCCTCCCCATTACTTCCATTTAACTAATCTGTCATCAGGTCCAGCCAACACTAGCTCCTTAGCATCCCCTACCTACTCCACTGTCCCTTATCCCAGTTGACACTGCCTTAGTTAGTGCTCTCCTTATTCATTCATGCAATATTGAATGAGCACCTCATATGCACCAAGCATTATTCTAGCTACCAGGGAGACAACAAAATCCCACCCCTAGCTTACGATCTGGTAGGAAAAAAAAAACTCCAGAAAACAAACAAAATAATGAAATATAAAGTAAATTAGGGGCCAGCCCCGAGGCTTGGTGGTTAAGTGCTTGCGCTCTGCTGCTGGCGGCCCAGGTTCGGATCCTGGGCGCACACCGACGCACCACTTCTCCAGCCATGCTGAGGCCACGTCCCACATACAGCAACTAGAAGAATGTGCAGCTATGACATACAACTAACTACCGTGGCTTTGGGGGAAAAAATAAAATAAATAAAATCTTAAAAAAAAAAAAATAAATAAAGTAAATTAAAAGGAGATAACTGCTATGCAGAAAAATGAAATAGAGACAGGATAAGGGAATAAAATATCAGAAAAAGATATATACAATTCTAAATGGCGCAGTCAGGGAAGCCCTCAATGAAAAGCTGATGTATAATTAAAGACTTAAAGAGCTGAGGGAGCAAGTTATATGGATATCTCATAGAAAACTATTCCAGACAGAAGGAAGAGCAAACATCAAAGCCCTGAGACAGATGCAAGCCTGCTGAGAAACTGAGAATCAGCTTGGAGGCCAGTGCGGCTAGAGCAGAGTGAGCAAGGAAGACAGGAGGAGGTGTGGTCAGAGAAGTAATAGGGGGGATCACACAGGGCCTTAGAGGCCCAAGGATGGACTTCAGTTTTTATTTCAATTATGACAAATGAGAAGCAGTCTTGAATTCTGAGCAGAAGAGCGATGTGATCCAACATTTTAGCAGGGTCACTACAGTTGCTTACTTGAGAACAGTCTGTAGGGGGCTGAAGAAGTAGAGGGGACAAAGACTACTGTGATTAATCGAGGACAGTAAGAGACGATGGTGGTTTAGGTGACCAAGGTGATCATGGTGACGATGACAAGTGTTCAGACTCTGGATATTGCGAAGAAAAGAGTTACCAGGACTGAAACTGCTATCCTTACAAAGGTCTGTTTGCAAGTTTGGCCCTTGGCTGGCATCTGGGAACTTGGATTTCGGGAGGGTTCCCACCATTCCCAGTACTGATAAGAATGGTTCATTGTGCCTAAACTGTTTGTACAATGTGGTTTACCCTGAATATCTGCTTTCCTGCTGGGAGTCTGGAATTTTGGTATGTCCCAGGCAGAGGGGGCCTACGTAACCAGACTCCAAGAAAAACTCGGGGCACTGAGTCTCTAATGAGCTTTCCCTGCAGACATTTCACACTTGTTGTCACAACTCTGCTGGCGGAATTAAGTGTGTCCTGTGTGACTGCACTGGGAAAAGACTCCTGGAAGCTGTCTCCTGGGTTCCTCCGGACTCTGCCCCATGTGCCTCTTCCCTTTGCTGATATTGCTTTGTGTCCTTCCGCTGTAATAAACCATAGCTGTAGGACTATATGCTGAGTCCTATGAGTCCTCCTAGTGAATCACTGAACCTGGGAGTGGTCCTGGAGACCCCATGCACATGTATATCAAGGGAAGAAAACAAAGAATTTATTAATGTGCAGCATGAGAGAAAGAGGAGTCAAAGAAGACTCCCAGGATTTTGGCCTGAGGAACTAGAAGGATAGCAAAGAAAGATGTGAGGAGGCCTGGAGAGAACAGGGTTTGGTTTTAGATGTGTTAAGATCTTCATCATACATTCAAGCAGAGAGGTTTCCCATTTCCACATTGCTGTCTTTTCTAAAATGTCTTATTATGTCACACTACTGCTTAAAATTCTTTATGGATAAGAATCAGAAGTCCCTAGCATAGCATTCATGATCTTGCCCCATTTCTTATTACTCTACCCCTCAATTCCTTGATTCCCACCATACAAAATACTCATTCTATACCTGTGCGCCTCTGCTAGGAATGCTCCTTCCCCCGAGAATTTCCTTGTTTCTCACCTTCCACGCATCAATCCAACTATAAGCTCTTCTGGAAGTCCCTTCTCAGTTTAGGGTATGTACCCTCTTCTCAGTGCTCCTTCAGTCTCCCTCTCTAGGAACTATGAAAAAACTGCATCTTTATTCTACATCCAGCACAGTGACTGCTAAGCATCCTAAGTGTAGAATATGTGGTTACTGAAGGAATAAATGACACTCCCTTGGATGTTAAGGGCCCAAACCCAGACAAGTCAGACAACTGTACACACAATTCTACAACTTCTCTGACTTGAAGGCAGCCCTGGGCCATTCTCACTGAAAAACTGAGAACAATCACAGAGGCCCATTTCTCTAGTTCACATTTCAGGTGACTATTTATGGATAAGAGAGCTGCCAAAAATCTCAACATCTTGCTGGTGCAGAGATGCATTATTTTAAAACTTTTCCCCAGAAACTGCTAGGATATGTAAGTAACATTTGGCCCAACATCCCTGAAGTTTAACAGCTACAATAGAAAAATAATTCTGGAAATCCATGGTAACGGCCTCCAAGAAGATCAGTATTCACATAGATACTGTGGCAAAAGAAAACACTTAATTATTTTAGACATTTTCCCCACAGCTGAAAATAAAGGTATAGTATAGTTTCCAGCTAATGAAAAATACAATCAATCAGAAAGTTCCATTTCTGAGGCATTAATCAAGGTTTCAGTTTATCTATCAGGCTACAAATTCTATTCTTGAACTGTCAACAGAACAGATTCTTGACAAATAAATCACTAAAACAGTTGTAGTAATAAAATAGCTACTAGCATTTACTGAGCATTTCCTTTGTGCTAGGCACTGTCCTAAACTCTTTCATATGTACGAACATTTAATTCTCACCAAAACCTTGAGGTTTGGTGCTATAATTAATCCCCATTTTATACACAAGGGAACAGAAGCATCAAGAGAAAAAGCAACTTTGTGATAAAAGTCACAAAGCTAGTTGCTCGGCTATGAAACAAAACATTTGGCTCAAGGACCCACATTCTTAATCACTGCTTTATTTCCAGCAAGGTAGGTACACTACTTCTCAAAGCTAGTCTATGGATCACTTGCATTATAGTATCACACCCAACCCATTCCCCAGGAACACACATTTCAACAAGATCTTCAGGGATTAAGGTTAAAGATCACTGGTATAGTCTAAAAACACTGAATTTGGAGACAAAAGATATGGAACTACACTTTAACATCCTAACCAGCCCCAAGCCAGTTACTTTAAAAGCTTTAGTTTCTTCATTTGTCACATGCAGGGACTAGATTAGATAATTTCCAAGAAACCTTCTAGACCCACAACAGTTTAATCATGAATGATGAAGAGGTATGAACATTAAACGTATTATTAGCTGAGTTAGATATAAAAGTCTAAAATTCCTACTTACCCTGTTTACTGTGGATGCGAGTGCCTGAAGAACGGCCACTTTATCCCTAAGAAGGAGAATCACAAGTTAACCCTCATGAGGGCTTTTCACATCCACAAAGCGAACTCTCTGAAGGGACTGGCCAATAAAAAAGTCCAAGTCTCAACTAAAGCCAGTTCTTCTCTCTCAAGATCACCAGAATAATAACAAATTAGAAAAGGAGAAACCTGTCTAGTTCTTTCGCCTAAAGGTGGTTAGCATGTGTTGCCTACCCTCTCTGGCCTGGTCTCTAACACTATCACCCAGAGCTAGCAATTTCCACCCTCATCTCATAAAACTGTATCTATCCTGAATCTTACGTCCTGCTGTCCATTTTCCTATCCATTCTTACCGCAGCTTTCTGGACCACTCTTGCCTTTATTATCTAAATTGATAGCTTTTAATTCAGCTATATATGAAGAATAAACCACTGCACTCTGGACTTATTGAATCAGAACCTCCAAGTTCTAGGCAGGACTGTTACATGCATTCTTACTAAATTCCCAGATGATTCTGACACCTTCCTGGTTTAGAATCTCTCAACTATATAACCTTCCTAAGAATTTCAGGCCAGCTGTCCACTGTGCCTATAGATAGAGACCTTCACTGAACTACTGGAAAAAGGGGGTTTCCTTGGAATAACTGACAAACAGGATAATTTGGTTTCAAATATATTTTTTACTCCTGTGCAGATTTTATGTTTTCACCAAAAGGGAAATAAGTAAATTTAATAAACCAAAAGTATTTTTCTAAACAAAGTTTAACATAATATTCATCAGAATATAAATCATCTGAAAAAGACAAAAGAACATACAGGAAATTCTGTATTATATCAAGACTGAGTAATTCCCTGATGTATATAATATCCACTGGATTTTCTATCATTTTTTAAAGTCACATTTATGTAATTTCAGGAAGAGACACAAAGAAATTCATCTCAGCATTCCCTAACTAAACCTTATATTAACATATTTAAGTCTTATCAAGTGAGCACATCTTCATAACAAACTGAACAAATGCCAGTGAAAAAACTATGACAGACTACTCACTAGTTCTCTTTTCTTAAAGGGTTATTTTTAAAAGCAATCTCAACAAATATATTATTTTTTAAGGATAAATTAGAACATTATAGGTTATGCTAAAGTGTCTGGTGTCATCTTGTGACCCTCTCCTACTTCACTGTGAGTCTGGTGTTTATATTTCCACAACTTTTTTTTTTGTGTGTGTGAAGAAGAACAGCCCTGAGCTAAGATCCGTGCCCATCTTCCTCCACTTTATATGGGGACGCCACCACAGCATGGCTTGACAAGGGGTGCGTCGGTGCGTGCCCGGGATCCGAACCTGTGAACCCTGGGCCACTGCAGTGGAGCGCAAGCACTTGAACTGCTGCGCCACCGGGCTGGCCCCTCCACAACTTTTTAAGGTACTTTCACATACGCATACCGCCATAAAAAACATATACTGTCATTCTGTATATGTGCTTATGTAACATATACTGTCATTCTGTATATGTGCTTATGTAAGTTTGTATTATCCATGTTACTACATATAAATCTAATTAATTCCTTTAAATGTTTTCTTGCATCATAACCATTTTTTACTATCCACTCATTTATCTATGGGCATTTAGGCTGTTTCAACTTGTTATTATTCCCAAGTTATAAAGAACGTTCTTATCCACGTCTCTTTAGGTATATATGCAAACGTTACTCCAGAACGGCTAACCAGTAAGGTATGCATGTTTTAAACCGTGATTCTACCAAATCTCCCTCCAAACTGTTGTTCCAATTGACTGCCCTATCAACAAATTTATTTGGGCACCCATTTCTCCACATCCTCTCCTTCCCAATCTGGTAAGTTTTAATATCCATTTCTTTTATGAGCCCAGTTATCTATGTGTTGATTATAATTGAGTTCCCTGCCCTCCCTGAAGTAACCACACAATTCAGATTAACCTGTTCAGAACACTGCCTTTATCACATTACATGCATATATGAAAACTCACAATGAATCTCTACCATTTGTTCAAGTCTTCTATGGCACCTGAATGATCTGGGAAATCACAGCCTTAAAAGATGCTTCATTTCTAACATAAGGCAACAGGAACTTGTAGTCCTTATGGCTTCTTCCAGGTCTAAAAACATAAATTCCTGAGCCTGGAAATCGTCACTTTTTCTGTAAAGAGACATAAATATTTTAGGCTTTACGGGCCATAGGGACTCTGTTGCAACTACTCAGTTCTGTCAGTGTAGTATAAAAGCAGCCACAGACAATTTGTTAACAAATGAGTGAGGCTGTGTTTCAAAAAAATTTTAGTTGACACTGAAATTTGAATTTCATATAACTTTCATGTGTCATAAAATAAGTCTTCTTTTGGCTTTTTTCAGCTATAAAAAATTTAAAAACCATTCCTTGCTCATGGGCTATAAATAAACAGGTCTCAGTATGCTGACCAACGTCCTTTATCAACTACTTTATTTCTTTTATTCTCACAGAGCATTTTCCATAGGCCAGCCTGCTTGGTCTCCCCCTACCACCAGATATATCATGACCACGTCCCACTCTACCTTACTGTTCTCTGTATCTGTGGGTCTCATACTTTAGGGTTCACAAGAATTTCCTACAGGAATATGCATTTTAAACAAAACTCCCATGTGATTCTGATGCCAATAAAATCACCTTACGCATTTAAGGTACCAGTAAATTCCCAAGTTTTCAATAAAACTCAACTTAATCAGTGTAATACAACAGCTCTTGATTACATCACATCCTGTGTTACCTCTAGTCAAGTGTATAAGATTACGTACACACACGGTATAAGGTATAAAGTATAAAATATGCACACGACTCAACTAGATCTTAAGTCATCTAAGCACACCCTCCAAATGCTCCCTCTTCTGTATTCCCTCTAGTACCTTCCTTGAAGACAGAGGCACAATGGGTTGGTAAACTGCTTTGGACTTGAATGCCATTCAGAAAAATGCCTCATTCATGGATATGTATATTCTTACTCTTATCTTGGTTCTGATTCTCTGTTAGGCCAGGGAAGACAGAAATAAACCTGAATATATCCATATAATAAAATACTATGCAGTCACTGAAAATTAAAAGTAGAGTGTAGAGCTATACATCTAACAAATCAATTCTATTAAACTAAATGTGTATGTATAATTTATATAAAAAATGTTATTCCCCAGAACTTTAAGATAATAACTATCACCTGTTGAGATCTGACTATGCAGCAGGCACCGTTCAAATGCTCATTTAACTTTTAGAGGTAGGTACCATCACTATCCACGTTTTACTACAGCACAGACAAAGTAACTTCCCTGAGTAGTGTTAGTGCTGGTAATTTTGTTTCCTTTTTGCATGTTCAATTTAGCTCACCCTGCTTTTGGCAATAACCATTAATTACTTTTGTAATTTAAGAAAATTTTTCTCTTTTTTAAATCAACCTGAGTCTTCAGGTTACACTCAGAAAAGACCTGGCTGTTTGAGGGGCCTTTAAATGCATTCAATAATATCATCACTGAAAGAACTTTGGTGAAGAAGTTTTAGTTCTTACATATTCAACAAATGTTGAATACATAAAGCAATTTATTCAAGGACCTATCTAGTGAGTTAAAAAACTAAATTTTGCAGTCCACACTATTTATTTTATTTTACCTCATTAAGACCATCAAGATAATACATTTATCTGGTCTCCCGACCATGTAAAAACTTCAAAAAAAAAAAGAAATTATTCTAATGATGATACTCATTATTAACCATTATTATGTAACTATTAACCCAAACTTATTTCAGAAGATCTTTTAACTCTCCAGTAAATCTCACTCCCCATTCACTCATTCTCTCCATCTTCACCTTTTATGTTCTTTTAAATTCCCAAGCTTTTCTCCTCTCAGCTGTTCCCTCCCCCAAGAATGCTCTCCCACTGCTCTTCATATCACTGGCTCCTTACCTAACACTATTTCACTCGTAATAAGCGCTCAACTACTTACTGAATGAACATTGATTAAATACTCACCAAGTTTTCCTTTTTGGAATGACCACTTCTTCACTCCCTTAATGTGACAAATGAAACAAAATGAATCAGTTTCCCAATACCACTACTACAAAGAAATACAGTGTGTTAATATAAAAAATGGAATTATTTCAATGTATTTTTACATACCTGTTACATCAGCTCCTTCAACCTTTGGGAGGGCTGCACTTCCAGAATAAAATCTGCAAAAAATGAAAGCCCTAAAGCTAATACTCTTTTTTTTGTGAGAAAGATCGGCCCTGAGCTAACATCTGCCAATCCTCCTCTTTTTTTCACTGAGGAAGACTGGCCCTGGGCTAACATCCATGCCTATCTTCCTCCATAAAGCTAATACTCTTAATGAAGCTCCCACCTCACCTCCACCTATGTACATTTTGAGCCCAAATTTTCCAATTATCATGGATCAAACTACTGGATAATTCATGTCAATGTCCACTGAGAAGTCATGGCCTCAACAGCAAGTTCATAATAGATACTACAAAATAGATACATGATATGGACACATTATGGTCAAAAATCTTTTAATCAGGCAATTTCATTAAATAAGATCAAGGTAAAACAGGAAAATTTTAAGAGCATTTGAACAATTGGAGCAGCTGATTTGAAATATAAGGGACTTTCAACTTTGGGAACCTAAAACACTGAGGTTAAGAAGGACAATTTAACGAGTTCTTGATGTTATGTGGATAGTGCCCTAATGACAATAAAAGACTATCCCACTTAATGCAATTATGACGAATTATGAAGCTAAGATCACCATGGCCTCTTATTCCACTACCTTCAACAATCAGGAATGTACCAAATACATCCATCCTAATTTAAACTTGGAACTACTGATATTACTTTTGTTCCAAAATATAAAATCACTGACCCATGACTGAGTTTTTAAATGTTCTGATCACACTAAAAGATACAGTCCACATACCACAGATAATATGCACCATTACCTTGCGTATTTCTTTCCTAAATGGCATTAGTACCATTCATAAAATTATCAAGATATGATTATAAAAAAAATTACTTTCTCTACTGGTATTCTGGTCTCAGGCATCATTTTAAAACAATATTTCTATCAGGCGCCAACGCCAGAAAGGGATCAATTCTTTCAAATCATGCTGTTTCTTTTTCATGACATCAGAACACACAGACCACTTTTGTCTTGTGGGTGAATGGTGAGGGAAATGCTGCTGACAGGCAAAGGAAATGGGCAGAAAAATGTCAACACTGGGTACTACAGGGAAAAGAACTGGGATTGAACAGCAGTATTAAGGCTTCCAGAGTACCAGGCAGAGCATTTTTCTTTTTTGAGGCGAGGTGAGAGAAAATATTACATATAAAATGTACACTGTAAGTTACACATCTTACTTACTCCTCACAATTTTCCGGATAGTTATTACTAGGTCCAGTCTACAAATGAAGAAATTTGTCTACTATCAACAAGTAAGGAAATGGCAAACATCGAATCTAAAATGAGGTTTTTCTCAACTTTTTACTACAAATTACTGTCTCTCATATTGCCACAACATCAGTTTGTACATAGTGAGAAAAATTAGATAAATGATACGTTTCCAAGCTGTAACAATCACAGCAATCCAAAGGTGTGTTCAGATCTTTTAGACTTTGTTGTTTTATGAACACCTAAATAATCTCTCAGGCCTAACATCCCTACAACATCCAACACACAGTGGCGCTCATAAAACGCCTTTAATTTGGGAAAATGTCATGAGTTCTCTCCGTTTTTCCCGGTTGGGTGAAAATGAGTAACGGCAAATAATTTTCTTCTCTAAAAATCTGGGATGGAATTGCTAGTAGTCACATTAACTAGAATGCTGGCTCCACGAGAGCAGGTTTCTAGTCTCGCTGCCAGTTCTAAACTCCTGGGTACTCGAGCCAACCAATAACTCTCTCTCCAATAAACGCGTTTCGGTCCCTTTTTCAAGGACGCGGGTTCCTGGTGCCCGCATTCCTGAGCACGCGGCCGCGACAGCGCGCATGCGCATTCCACTCAACTAGTTCCGCAGCTCTCGAGAAAAGGGGATGCACAGAACTAAGTTGACCCTGTGTTTTCTTCATGGATTCCTCAACCTTCTCTTACCTGCAACTAGGGGCCCGTTCACATGGATCTGCCCGCCAACCCATCATCGGCAAGCAAAACCTGCAGCGAACCCTCAGCCAGCACACAGACGCTGCCGCCGCCATCTTTGGCTTTTTCGCATAGCATGTTGGGAAAGCACGCCCTCGACCTTCCGGGTCACCAAGGAAGGGAGGGGGTAAGTGGGCGGCGAATAGCTCGGCTATTGGCTGAGACGGAACAAGACGAAAGCAATCATAAAGTAGGAAGTAACAAGCTTATGGTTTGAAAGACTTTATTACGGAAGTTAAAGGCTCCCTACGCCTCGTTTGCCTCGAAGAAATTTTCTAAAACGATTATTATAATGTCTTACATATCTTCGGTTGTTTTAAATATAGAAGGGCGAATAAGAGTCGTGAAATTATTTTCCTTCCCCCCTCTATAGCAGAGGTGATCTCGTCCACGTAAATCGCATTCCAGCGAGCGTTTCTCTCGCGCAAGCGCAGCTGGAAATCACATGGAGGCTGCGGGGATGAAGCTGTGATAAGAATTTACTGGTGGTGACTGGAACTTTTTTCTGGGTATCGGAGCTCAAAACTGACGTGGAGGATGTTGGCCTCAAAGAACATGCCCTGGCGGCGGCTGCAGGGCATTTCATTTGGGATGTATTCGGCCGAAGAGCTCAAGTAAGGAGTTGGTGGGGAGCCATGCAGTTTGTCTCTTGAGGTCTGCGCCATAAACTGCTGTTCCCGAAAGGTTTTGCGCCCAGTTTATCCTCTGAGTCCGTGGTTGTCCGGTGCGTGGCCTGCTGGGACCCGTAGTTCCGGGAACGTCTTGTGTTAGTGTGCATTACCTAGAACCCGATGGGGCTGCGAAGGAGTTTGCGCCAGGGAGGCGGGGGTTGCCAAATTGCCACGTTGTCATTCTCCAATCTCCTCGTTAATTAGTGTTTGTAAAGTTACTGTAATGTCTCTGACGCTGTTAGTTAAGCACAAAATTAGTCTCTTATTGTCTGTAAAATGATTATCCTTGAAGACTCAGTTCGGGCGACAGCTTCTGTTTGCTAGGACTCTCTGTATTCTCTTCCTACTTACTAAAGCAAGGGGACTCTCTTAAGTCCCCATTTTGATTACCGTGGCGTTTGACACTCTACCATACTCTCGAAACTTGGCTGTCTTCCAGGTCCTTGTTGTCTTCAGGGTCTTCTATTTCTGTGACAAGGACTTCTTCCTTCCTCCTTACTCGATCATTTTATCAAGCCACAAGTATTTATTGATCATGTGGTTTTGTCTGGCACTAGGCTAGGCGTGAGTGACACGTTGGTGAAAAAGGTCTTTGCATTCATGGCTTCTATTCGAATTCACCTTAGGCTCCTCAACTGATTTCCTCTTATCCTTAAATCTTGGTGTTCCTCGAGGTTCTGGTTTGGTCATATTGCTTTTCTTGTCCTAAATGTCGTCCCTGGACAGTTTCACCACTTTCGTGATTGATATTCTCAAATTTAAATCTCCAGACCAAATTTCTTTGCCCAATTTTCAGACTCATTTATTCAGCTGTTTTCTGGACATCTCTACTTGATTTTCACGCAGAGGTCTTAAACTAGTATACCAAAAACTCTGCGTGCTCCCTCCGCCCCCCAAAGGGAGGGAGAACTTGCCCCTCCAAAATGTTGTACCTAGTCTAGTGCAAAATGGTCACTATTTTGTGATTGGGAAATAATTCTAGGCCTTTCTCTCCTTACATCTGATTTACTTATTGGGCTCCTACTGTGTGTCACTTACATATCTTTGTTCTGTAGTCTCCTTTTCATCACTACTGCTACTACCTTAGATCAGACCCTTGGATCTCTTGTTTGAATTGTCTATTCCTTCCACCTACCCCCCCCCTTACACTTGTCCAGTCCATCCTCCACATTGCTGTCAAAATTATTCTTCCAAAGTGCAAATGTAATCACGCTACCATCACCCTTAAAATCCTCCAGAGTCTCTTTATTTCCCTCAGGTAAGGGATACTTTCTTAGCTTAGCCTACAAGTTCTCCCATGATCAGGTCGTTGCTGATTTCAGCTATAACATCATCCCTTCCTCAACCCTGCTAAACCACTTTCACATTCCAGAAACTGCCATCAAGTTTCAATGTCTGGGCCTTTCTTCAAGCTGTTTCCTCTGCATGCAATGTCCTCTCTACTGAAACTGCCATCAAGTTTCAACGTCTGGGCCTTTCTTCAAGCTGTTTCCTCTGCATGCAATGTCCTCTCTACTGGAGGCACCTACTTCGCTCTGTCTCTCCCCCCACCTCCAACAGACACCAGGAAAGCATCTCTTCCACTCCTAAGGCTTAGGCCAACCTTTCTTATTTTCGGAGGTCTTTCCACACCTAGTACAGTCACCTGTCATGGTGCCTCAGTCACTTTTTATGCTTGTTTTGTTTCTGTCTCCCCCCACTAGCCTTGAGCTTCTTGTATGTCTCATTCCTTTCTTTTATCTCAACTCTGGATGAAGGGATACATGAGTAAACTCATGAGGTACAACTCTGGTAACATTGGGAACAGTGTGCTAGCCCAGAAACTCCAATTATATTATCACCAGTCATAAATAGATACAATTTCATCCAAAAGCAAAAGTGTTTTAGGTTACTTGAGTTTTTTAAAAGATAATTGTGGAGTTTTCAAACAGGGAACAGCGTGAGCAAATTCATGCTCATTACGAACATTGTAGACCTGGTTGGGTCTAGGGTTGAGAAATTTCAATAATTATACTACCTTTTATTGTGCTAGGTTCTCATAGCTTTCCATCTCACTTGGAATAGAAGCCAGGTCCTTAAAATGGCCTGGAAGGGCTATTCTGGCCCCTGCTACTTCTCTGAACTCCCTTCTATTCCTGCAACCCTGGACTCCTTGCTGTTCCCAGAGCACCATGGGTGCACATCCACCTCAGGACCTTTGCACTCCCTGCTTCTTCCTCTTGTAGAGCTCTCTGCCCTGGTGACTGCGTGGCTTGGTCCCTCATCTCCTTCAGGCCTTTGCTCAAGTATATCCTTCTTAGTGTGGGCTTCCCTGACCACTGGCCCACCCTATCATCCTTCCCCTCTCCTGTTTTGTTCTTCTCCATAGCACTTTCTGCCATCTAACAGAGTATGTACTTTATATATTTTGGTATTTATCTGCCTTCCTTCCTCCAATAGAATGTAAAGCCCATGAGAATAGATTCTTGTCTATTTCCCAAGCATCTAAAACTATGTTTGGCACACAGTAAGCACTCAATAAATATTTCTTGAATGCTTGCATGAGTGGATGGGGGAGCTATCTGTTCAGCACCTGGCACTGTCAGTCCTTCTTACAGCCATTGGTAATGGTGTCTCTGGTTACAGGAGAGGAAATTCAGGGCCAGAGAATAAAGTGACTGTCTAGGAAGCAGCAAAGGTCGTCCTCAAACCCAAGCCTATAAGTCTCAAACTCTGTTCTCTCCAGTGGAATCCTTGCTGGTTGCCTCTCTTCTCCATCCCATTCCTGCAGTGGTTAGAGGGACTTTCTCAAACTCTTCCCCAACAAGAGAGAGGAACTTTGTTCCAAGCACTGTATTTTGTATACGTTATCTTCTGATCATAAAGGAGCTGCTGCAATACCCAATTTTTAGGTGAGAAAAAAAGCTAAATAGTTCGTCCAAGTTATGCAGTTCAAGGTTGCGGGTAGGCTCCAGGTTTGTGGGAGGAGACCCCACAGACAAGATGGAGTTAGATTAAATTTCTCATGTAATTTGCTCAGTGGTAGCAAAGTGACCATGTAGACAAGAACGACAGCAACAGGTGTCCATGTAGCCTCCCCTGGCTTTCAAGAGTGACTCTGGCTATGCAAGAGAGGGTCTTCCACATCTGAGCACTTAGTTCTTGATGTGCCAGCATCCTTTTATACACAGTTCGCAAGTCACCATTCAGGAAGAACTTACCTGTTTTTAGGCTTCATGAAAAGGAATGTTTATGTTTACATCAGTAGGGGGCTCTTCTCCCCATTGGGGCCTACCCGCTGATGGATTAGAGAAGGAGATTGGAGTCAGGGCCCAGGTGTCCCTGAATGGTGACTCTCCTGCTGGCTTTCCAGTGTTCTGGAAAACCCATTTCCCTGTACTCTCTCCTACTTGGGAGCAGATTTAGAACTCAGATCTTTCTCACCCCAAAGCCATGTTCTTTCTAAGAGCTTCTTCTGGCCTGCCAGGCCCTCAGTTTTGGGAGGAGTGCTATATTGTAGCAGTGAGGGCAGCAAGAAGACGTAACAACAGCCTTTCTTACATCAGGGAGGTTGTTAGCTTGGGTGTTTATATCTTGGAGACTGCGCATATGAATCCTACACCGAGGTTATCTAGTGAGAGTCAAGTCTGCCTCATCCATAGAGAGACTGAGGATGAGGAAAAAAAAAATACATTCAATTTTGGATATGAGCTATTTGTGTTGCCTTTATAAGCACAGGACATAATTCTTCTGCCAGTTAGCACAGGTCTGTGCCGGCCCCACCTGTCTACTCTTTTTCCATCGTTGTAGCTCCAGGCAAGGGAAGTGAAGTACCAACTTACAGAAGGTGATAGGGAGCAGGTCTAGTGGCGAGAGACTTTGCACTGAGACTTACTTAGTGTTTGCCTTACACAGTAAATGTATTCCTTATTTATAGTTCCAGTTAAGTTTTGGAGCTCAGTGTAAAATGAACGAGAAGGATGGATGAATATATATCCACCCCTGAAGGAGAAGGACTTAGCCTAAAGGTAGTAGAAGGAAAGCACCTTGGGAAAGACCTGTGAATTTAACTCATTAAAAATTTTTATACTTTATGCAAATAATACCATTAAGAAAGTGAAAAGACATAATGGGAGAAAGTATTTGCAAATCATATGATTTTATACTCTGATAAAGGACTTGTATACAGTATATAAAGCATTCTTTGAACTCAATGATGAAAAGGCAAATAACCCAATTAAAAAATGGGTAAAGGATTTGAATAGACATTTCTCCAAAGAGCATATATAAATGGCCAATAGACACATGAAGAGATGCTCAGCATCATTAGTCATCAGGGAAATGCAAATCAAAACCACAGTGAGATACTTTGTCATACCCACTAGGATGGCTAGAATCAAGATGTC